TTGAACCATTACGCAACAAATCAAGTTAATGCATCCTTTCAGTCTCTCCGTTATTCAATAATATACCACTTTCGGGACCAAGATCGCGCCACTCGATGAACTAGCACGCAGATGCTCGCCCTGATTTCAAAGATAAACGACGATTTTAACGGTAATGCGATACGGAATGATTATTTTTATTTTTATTTCAAAAAGGGTACTTTGCATAGTATGCCCTTATATCGTTATGATAAATGGGGATGAATTGTATTGTCAAAAATATTATTATTTCAGAATTTATGTTGTGGAAAACAACTTGTTACTCTACAGTCAGATTAAAGAATAGTATTAATTCAATTGTGCATGCAAACCAAATACCAAAAAAAAATTTTTGGCGCGTAAAACTGTACACAAATAGATTATCGGGTAGGTCCAAACAGCGTTTAGAATTTAAGACTTGTATAAGCAATTATTTTTTTAAACAATATGATTTATTTGGTTGGCCTTTATCTATTTGATATATTTTAATATTAAAATTTCTTTAAAAATGTCAATTGGATCGAACAATAACGTGGAAGGTCTATTTTCACTTAGAAGCATCCTTCCATCTATATTTTGAACTGAAAACTAATATTACTACTACTTGACATAATGCTGTCCGAGTTGGGTATAGTACCAGTAATATTCTGGTTGAAATGCCAAAGTTTTAATCACGAAAAGAAAACAAGTAACAACAAATATTGTCACACCTGAGTCATAACCTAATTTACTTTCATATAAATATTATATCAATATTTTAAAGAAAAAAAAATTCAAGAATTTATCTAATGTGATGCAGTAAGAACAGTGATCCAGTTCTTCAGACTGGTAATAAAGCTTCACTTATAATGATAAGTACACAAATTGTATTTTTTTATGAGAAGAGTCAAAATAAGTCGATAATTTTTTCAAAAATAAATTTAACAAATTCCTAGCTACACTCTTAGGATAACCTCATTTTTAATAGAGCATTTGGTATAATATCGCCTTGTCACATTAATCCACGTCACGTTAATAGTGTTTACGCGATTTTGTTATAAAATAGTCAGTATATTTTATTGCGAAACAAAAATAATAGTAGAAAATATTTTTCAATATGAATTTTGTCAAAAATGTAGAATTTTAATAAACGTTATTACGGCAAACACAATTGAAACTAGAATATTCAAATATGATACAAACAGTGCACACTAAAGTAGTTGTTACTATTTATATAATTTCTATTCATTATTTTGCACGATTGTTTCTGAATACGACATTAAAAGCTTGCTTTTCTTTCGTTTCGGTTTCCAAACTGCATCATTTAAGAAAAGTATGTGATTGAGAAACAAAAATACAGATATTCAAAAAATATATTTGGATAGATATAGAAAAAAGTAATATGATGTTAATAACTCACAGAAAATTACCAAGCTCAAAAAATATGAATTATGTATGAGTATATAAATGCTTCTAATATTATTGATTAAATGATTTATATATCCTTAATGTAAATGAATGCATATTCTAAAATAAAGTCCACATGATCAACGCTAAAATAAATATTAATTTTTTATACGAAAATATAATTGTTTCAAAAGTACCGTGTATATCTACAAAATATATATCTGTGTTGAATAGTTGATATATTATAACATATAACTTTAACATTCAACTAATTTAAGGAAAAATATTTTATAATATTGAAACAAAAAAACTGAAATTGAAAAAAAAAAACATCTATTTGTGTTATTTTAATTAACAGATTTAAGTATCCGATCAAATGATCGCCAATTAAATAACAGAAAATTTTGGAAAAGGCTTAAAGCCATGTAAAATATAAAAATGCAGGGTCATATATTATTACACGAATTTTCAGCGAATTGTATAACAGACATTCAACACGACGTACATTTTTAGACAACATTTTTAACTATTATAAACGGATGGAAGGGCGAGAATAAATAAATGAAACTTTGTCAATTTTGTGTCGCTTTTAGAATTTTTTTTACAGGTGTAAAGTAATTTAGCATCAAGCACAAATTCTAGCTCCTTGATTATAACCGTCATCTTTCGTTTTGCATCTGTGGTTTCTCCTCGTTGGTTCTGTGTAATTTATGTCTTAATTTTCACAGCCAGGCGAACGCGCCAACGCGTACAGGTACGCCAAGTCTACGTGAAATACATAACGAGCATTTTCCTTAAACATTCGTCGGTATACTCGCTCTAATATTTCCCATAATTTCGGGGTTCCAAACTCGATGTGAATTTTTTTTAACCATATGCCATAACTGGAGATACTTATGATAATAATTTAAAAAATTTAAACGCTAGTTGATTAATTATATTCTATGACTATTATGCACTAACACAAGTCAATATTAAAATTTAATATGCCGACAAAAAGTTGATAATGAGCAAATTAGTATATCATTAATACCATATAGCACCAAATAATATAGCATAAAACATAACATATTCACGGCACTGAATACGGTCATGCCAATAATTTTTTTTATGAATATTTTGTATTAAGGGGCACAACTAGTATGAAATTTTAAAAAAAAATCACTTTTTCCATATTTCGATAGGCTATACCTTTAAAAATAACATACCAAAATTTTAAATCGATATCTTAAATATTTTTTGAGTTACAGTTACAGTAGTATATAGTATAACGATCATTTAATCTTTAAACGCGTTTTTCTCGAAACAGCAATTTCCGAATTTGCTGCAGCGATTACTGAAAAACAAATGATCCGATCACTATCAAATTTTTTTTACATGTTCTATATATAGTTCTCCGTAAAATGAACTATCGATTTTTTGATCGCATAAAAAATCGAATTTTGGCAGTCCAAAAACGACCAAAATTTTGGGTAAAATTCGACTTTTTTAAAAAAAAAACGCCGTCATTTTGTCAATTTTTAATTTTTTTTCTTTATTGTAGTTCATTTCACAGACAATATTATCAAGTTTAATGAGATTTTTTTTATTAAATTTCATCCACGTAGAAGGCCGGAATCACTGAAGCAGGAAAGGGCCATTTTTTTGTCGCGCCGTTGGAGATCGACGATAACTTAAAAAATATTTAATTTTTTTCTTCAAAAAATTTCTTCTTCACTATGTATTCTTAAAACATGTCCATATTATCCATATTATTCGGCTGAATTCCTAGTCTTCATTCAGTGGTATTTACTGTCCAAATTTTGACAGTATTTCAAATTTCAAACCATACTCCAAATTTTTCGATATTTTACTAAATATTTTTTGTTTTTTTGTGAGATCACACCTAAATCTCAATTCTATAAAATTGTCAAGATACCCAGTATCGATATTTATGGTTTTAATTTAATTAAGATTTTAATTTAATGTGCGAACATAAATCATTTATACAAAAAAAGTTTAAACATATTTTTCATTTTTCATTTGCATATATAGGCTTATAACTATTGATTTTTTGTTTCTCTATTTTTTATGTAAAATAAAAATTTGTCCCATGTACAGTTCATATGCACTACAACTAGTTTTATCATAATGTGCCATTTGTCTGAATTCGGGTCATGAACCGCAACGATTTCTCGACAGCTTTCTTCGCTAATTTTATCACCTCACTTGTTAAGAATTCTTTCCAGTTGTCCCCAAGTGTTGCAGCATACTTAGAAAAGCGCAGTTTTCCGCAATGATAAATAATTTTCTCACATTTAGAAGGCGCAATATATCAACTCGGCGCGGCGAAGTAAGCGCAATAATATGTTAAAACGTATGAAAAAAGTACTCTTTTCCGCGACCGTAATACTCATATATAGTCATACTCGTAATGTTGCTATTAAATCTGAACGAGAACATTCCTCACAAATACAATGTAAGGAACGCTTCAAGAAATTATAGCACTGTTTTCGGTGGCGTTTTGTTCCATGGCCGCGGCTTTTATAAATTGAGGTACTTTATTATGAAACGGATGGGTGGTAAATAACCCTTATGTGTGGCGATAAGGGATGCTCGTTGCGCAAACTGTAAAAAGCAAGGAACCGTGAGCTTTATTGTTATGTTATAATTTGGACGGGAAATCAGGAAGCTTTTACTTGCGAAGCGAATGGGAAGCAGCGCACTTTACAGAGCGGTTTCAATGTGTTTTAATGCAGTAGCGAACTACATTGATACTTACTCATATATGCATGCACATAATCATACATACGTGGGAAATATAATAAACATAAAGACAAAATTTTTGGAAAGAAGTTTAGGTATAGTTCTTGAAACTAAAGAAACAAACTATCACCACAAAACCGTAAATACTCTAGTATTTATATTACTAATTACATTCACATGATGTATAGAAGACAAATGATAATTAATAAATAAATAACGTTTTGATTTTAAACTATTTATGGCCTAGCTGTATGCCTATTTACCTGTCCACCAATATACCTGCCTACCAATATACCTGTCAACCTTTTATCAGTCTACCAATTTTCCTCTCTACCAATTTACCTATTTACCAATTTACCTTTCCCCCCGTTTTACATGTTTACCAATTAACCTGTCAACCTGTTGATCTGTCTACACATTTGTCTATCTATCTGTCCACCAGTTTATCTATCTACTAATTTACCTGTTTACCTTTTCATCTGTCTACAAATGTCTACGAATGATTATGACTATATTTATATAGTTAATAAACTAATTGGTTTGAAAGAAAGTTTTCAGCTAATGACAATAAAATCTAGCCGTACATATCGTAGGTTTTGTGGATTAATAAATAATTATTCGAGTGTAATATACACAGTAAAACACACATACATTTACACATTATATATATTTATATATATATATATATATATATATATATATATTTATATATAAACTATCTCTTGAAAATTGGTCGAATTTAATTACATTATTTGAACAAAGCTGCACTGAGTTGACTATAAGTTTCATTATCACACAATGCTAAAATTGTTCCTAACAAAATGTTATATTTGACAACACATGTAACTTACCTATCTAAATTGGCTTTGCTGTAATCGGATGGCTCAGTTTGACAAGGAATTTCTTTAAATTTTAACACTGCCCTTTCGTCGCATTGTGCCTGAAAGACAAATGGAATAATATATTTTCTAAAATATTTAACTAAAAAAATAATATGATAAAAATGTCAATAACAGTAAGGCAATAAATAATTATGAAAATAATATAAGAAATTTGAAAACTTGATAATTCATTAATTCGTAGATGTTATCAGCAGCCGATTATAATGAGCAACTTTTTAGTTGAATACGAGACCAGGGTCTAACTGTAATAAGGTAGACCCACTACTAACAGGTGCTTTTCAATAGGATTTTAAACGATATAATTTTTTTTGTCTCCATTGTACAGTCCTGCACAAAATTGTCATAGATACTGTGCAGGTCCGTCATTTTGGACAGGTAATGTAAAATTATTAACTGACTAATATTAAATTGTATATACATATTATATTTTGTTTAAAACTTTTCAATTTTTGATAATGTGTAATAATTTTTGTGTTGTTAAATTGTAAAGTTAGCTTGATTAATGTAAAAAAATCATACTTGTAACATGCAAAAATTTTGTAAGTGACAAAAATTGGATGGAATGTAGAGTTTGTAAGATGTGGACACATGTAAATTGTGTCACAGAAGACGCTATATTTTTTATCTGTATTTCATTCAATTATAATATTGAAAGCCAATACATTTAAAAAATTTACTTACTTTATTGATATGATCACTTTCTAGACTTTTAAATAAAGAAAAACTAAAAATATAAACGAATAAATAGTCATATTTTCAAATATGCTATTCAACGCTTAATAATTAGAACGTTCAAATTCTCTTAATAACTGATACTTTTAGTAACTCATAACTGTTATTTGTATACAGATAGATCACTAGTTTATTCTAAGTTGAACATTAGTAGTTATTTACCAGCAATTGGTTTTTGCTTAGATAATTTAGCTGAGTCATAATGATGATTTGTTTTTAAAAGTGTGCGTTGCGTATGAATGAAATATGCGCATTTAAAATATGTATCTGCAGGTGCAAAAATTTTTATGATAGCTCTAACCGTTCCCGAGATATTCGCTAAAAACCATTCGCTACTTTTCACGTATTAAAAATGCGTTTTTCTCGAAAACTATTTGAAGTGCGATCGAAATTTTTTAATGGCATTTTCCTTATGTCATAAGGTTTAAACGTTGTGAAAATCATCAAAATCGGAAACAAAAAATTTTCATCCAAAATCGGAAAAAAAACGTGACGCTAGCATCATGCTATAATTTCAGTTTTTTGTTATTTATTCGGCAACCATTGAGAATATTAAAATGCAGTTTTTTTCACGTTATTCTAGCCCACAAGACAATTCGCCTGACGTCTAATTGAAGCTTCTACGTGTCCGGGAAGTTTGTGAAAAATTAAAAAAACTAACTGTTGTGACATGTATTTCTTATTCTTTTCGGGTGATGATTAAACAGATAAAAAAATTCAAACTAACTAAGACCAAAAACGAAAAAGCAAGGAAAAAGAAAATTCAATATAAAAAATTCACAAATAATCTTGTTAACTTTGTTTAAAAAAATATGTTTTGTCATATATTATTTATAAGCTCTGTTTAAATGATTATGTTGGTTCGTCATATTACTGTTATTAAAGCCAATAAAAGTTGTTATAAACCATGTTGTGAACGGCTGTGACATTCGCCCTTCTCTTGTATGATTTGATTGTATTCAAGGGTAGTATTTTAGTTTTTTCATGTAGACAAATGCTCAAATTACAACTTTATTCACTTTTCTCCCACCACCCAACTGGTGAATTAACAAAATTATGATTAAAAAAAATAGCAAAACAGTACCCAGTGTCCCCTAATATAAAATAAGCCATCAAAAGTTTGTACCTATCTAACTGTATATAAAACAATAAATTTTATTATAAATAAAATAAGCAATATTTTTAAAATAATATAAGTTAGTGTTAATCTACTTCCATATTTATTTAAGGTCAGAGTTATGTTTTGTTGTAAAATTTAATTATTCCTTAAACTATTGAAAATACACTTATAATGATAATATAAAATATGCAATACTACGATTTAAGAATTAAGATCACCAACTGTATTGAAGGGGAATAAAATCAAGTCGGCGTGATAAGTGTCATATAAACCCAAGGGTCGCAGACGAGTATTATTATTTCCTGAAACGCAGGGACAAGAACTAGTACGAGACGACAATCGTATAAAAATCTCCGCCGTGCAACGAAGGGACGAGGGCGCCGTCTTGAGAATCACGAGCCCCGTAGAACAATGCAGCGAAACTTGAATATTGTGCCTCTATTGTTTTTTTTTATATTTTACTTCATTCTAAATGTTCATTGAATTGTTAGCACTTATCAGATTACATCGGCTTGCTGATGCCGCGGAGGCGGGTATTAATACCGTATACTGAAAAGAATGATATAACCAGACGTTCTTAGATGGAAACACGCCGATAGGAGAGGCGTGCGGACCGGGGCCGATGCGAAAACTTTTTTTAATTCCATGCTATTATCCGGCTTTTATAAAAGAAAAGCTTATTATGCCTCTGTGAGAGGTCATTACGCGTTTTAAATACATATTTGATGTTTTATCATAAAGGTTATGGAGACGTTTTAAAAGAGTCTGTAACGGGCCCTACCTTCGCTCAGTGTAAAAATGGCGAATATTAGAAGATATATTGAGTGACGATACTCTCAGACGAAGACAATAAGTTATGGCGATTGAGTTTGAAATTTTCACAGCGCATGAATATCGTACATAGCTATACACACAAGTATATATATATATATATATATATATATATATATATATTATTAATTTAATCTTACTTATCACGCTATTCACAAAATTTGATAAAATTGAATTATGTATTTCTACAAAACCAATGCTCTACTTCTTAGTTCAAAATGAGTCTAATTGTAAGATATATAAAACTTTTTATATTGTCAATATTTCAATACAATTTATGGAGAAACTAGGAGCTTATTGCAACAGGAGTAAGTAGTAAAAAGCGTTTTCCAATGGGATCTTGAACAAAATTAAAATATTTTTTATCTCGATTGAACATGTAAACCCTCCTAACCAATGGTGTTGTGCTAATATTTTTTTTTGCCGGAACGCTAAAATTTAAAATCCGGTTCATAAAATTTGATATATTTCGATAAGAACTCACAAATCTAATCTATTGACTTCTTATATAATTAACTCTTTATATACAGCTAGTCTATACATTAAATTGTACAATATGATAAAATCATTGAGTACATAATTTATATTCTTCAATGACATTAATTATATTTATTTTGGTATTATTTGTACTCATTAATACCTACAGATATTTATTATGATATAATAGTACTCAAGATTTATTACAATACTTTATAAGACTTAACCTCATATGATAGATAACCTATTACCTATCATACTATACTATATTATTGTATATCATAGATAGATATCTATTATCTATCATACCGTGAGATACCTATATCGTCATTAACTTATTATATACCTACATACATTTTACTTCTTATAAATACTACTGTTTAATTTATATATTCACCTATATTATATAGGTTTTCCTCACGCCCTATGTATTTTTTTTTTATTACCTCTACCTATCTATTGTCTATACCGGGAATTGAACCCGGGACCTCCGCGTGGCAGTCGCGTAACTTAACCACTACCCTATCGAGTACCCCCACAAATAATATAATATGGAACGCACTGTTGTTACCGCGGGTCATTTTCTAATTAATTAGATAATTAATACTAAGGTGGCGCGACGACACGCGGAATAAGACGGTTGATTGTAGAGTTACGGTGGTGTAGTGGGTAAGGTGGTAGCGTGTCACGCGGCGGACCCGGGTTCGATTCCCGGTAAGGGTACAAATAGCGTGTAAGAAAAATTGTAGGTAATAGGATATATAGTAGATATAGATAGGTTATATAATGTAGGGATTGAGAGTATATGATGAAATATAGCGTATGGTATAGATGTAAGGCGTGTAGTATAGAATGCAACGTATAGGCATACGTAAGGCTATAAAAATACACGAATAGAAACCTATGGTGTAGGTGTTAGCGTATAAGAAATGCGAATGTATATAAGATTTAATTTATAAATATTATTTTTTCTATAAGAATTTTTATCTCGGTATTAAATATCTAAAATATCCGTTAAGGCGTCGATTACACCTTACTGCTGCCTTTGCCGTTCTCACTTTATAGAAAATTAATTACTGCACTTTTAAACGATTGTGTGCATTGTACGATAATAGACATAGAATTATAAATTTTATTAAATGTTTGAGTAACTTGTGCGAGCTGATTTTCTTGAGATGTTCTTAGTCTCGCAACTTACTGAATTCTAAAAATTCTAAATTTAAAAATATAATATAAAAATTATTATACCGCTGTCTGGTAGAGATGGCAATTTATAAATATACAGACTAATACATACAGAATTTGGAATTTTTCTATAATCCGTAATATTGAGAAAGTTTGCATTAGACCTACAAAAAGATGCGTATTTACCTAAGCTATGGAAATATATGGAAAAATTATATGATTTGCACATGCATCCTGTGCTCACTTATTAATCTTTACATATTAAATCATTTTCTGTATGTAGCGATTTTTTTATATTTTTTCTTGCCGGAACGCGTTCCGTCCCAAAAATGTTTTGCCGGAACGACGTTCCGGCGCGTTCCGGCGCGTTCCGGCTCGACAACACCGCTCCTAACCCATATCTATTATGTGGGTCCTTTTTAATTTAGTTAATATAAAATTGATCTATTATAAAATTTCGGTTTGCGTTATTATTATCGACTAATTTTAAATTTTATATATCTTACTTCGTTTCAAATTAATCCATATTGAGATAATATGTAACAATTTTTGTGATTGCTAGATTGTTTAAATAGTTATCCTGATTAATGCAAAAAAATCACTATTAGGATTAGTTGGAACAAAACCTTGGGGCTAGTTGTAACATTCAAGAATGGAATGGAAGCTACATATATAGTGAATAAGGTTGGGCGG